TCATCAAATTTCATATAGTATAAACAAAACTCCCATTACATTGGAGCCAAAAACAAAAATCCGGAGATTTCATTTTCTTTATACATACAGTAAAAGCCCTCTCTTCAAGAAAAAGAAAGAAACTTAATAAAATCCAAGAGCGAACAAAGAGAGAAACTTTTACAAACGGTTTTCGAAAATGCGGAATCAAGTGATCAAATCAGGACGCCGACCACCGTGGATTGGTTTATCTGCGGCGGTTTGGGTCGAAATCGCCGCCGGAAACGCTTTCACCTTCCCTCTCTACTCTCATGCTCTGAAATCGGTGTTGGGTTACAATCAGCAACAGCTCACGATGCTTGGTGTTGCCAATGATGTCGGAGAGAGCATCGCTTTCGTTCCTGGTTACGCCAGTACCAAGTTCCCGCCATGGATGCTCCTCTTCTTCGGTGCTTGTGCTTGTTTCTTGGGCTATGGACTCATTTGGCTCTCTGTTTCTCAGACTCTTCCTCGTCTTCCCTTCTTCTTGGTGAGTCAAAGTCTTCACCTTTTTTCTTTGAATCTGCAGAATAAGCCCTAATTTGATGTGATAATCGATTAAAAGTGTGTTCTTTTGCTGCTTTCAACTACCACTCAAGAACACAATTGACATGCAAAAAAGATGATCTTTTTGTATGTTCATTGGAAATTGCAGTTGTGGATCGCACTTATCGTGGCTGCTAATAGCAATGCGTGGTTTGGAACAGCAGTTTTAGTGACGAACATGAGGAATTTCCCGTTTAGTAGAGGCACTGTTGCCGGAATTCTCAAGGGTTATGCTGCAATTGGTGGAGCGGTTTACACTGTGATTTACAATGTGTTTCTTGATCAATCTTCTACGAATCTGCTGATGTTTCTTGCTCTCGGAATTCCGATTATCTGTTTGGCAATGATGTGTTTCATTAGACCATGTGTTCCTGCTTCTGGAGAGGATTCATCTGAGAATGTACATTTCCGTTTCACTCAAGTCATGGCTTTTTTAGCTGCTTTAATTGTTCTGATCATCACTGTGGTTGGTCATGTGACCTCGGTAAGCAGTAGCGTGACATATACACTGGTTGGTTTGGTGTTTGTTCTTTTGGTGTCTCCTCTTGCAATTCCTTTAAAGATGACATTTTCCCGGGAAGAACCAAACCCACTTGCTGGTTCTGCTGAAGGAGAGACTGATATAACCAACCCGTTACTGAATCCGCCTTCGTCTCTTGGGAGTTCCATTGAGATGGAGGATGGTGATAATAATAATGCTTCAGATGTACAGAACCTTTTAGCTGAGGG